ATTTTGAAGTTTATAATTAGAATTAGAATTAATTATATTCTTATAAAATGTAATATATATATTTTTATACATAATTGCATACATTATTCGTGTTATACTTCCTGTTTATCTTATGCCGATGTTTTATCGATAAAATACACAAATTATTTAGACACATACTGTATATCAATAACTCATATTACTTCTCTGGATCAATTTAAAATTTAATCAGGAAACTATCACGAAATTACCTAATTATATTTGATCTTCTTTTTATACTGAAGATTTATAATATCAGCGACATAATATATTCACAGAAGAAATTTTATAAGATCGAATTCATCTTGAAATTTATTACTAACTTATCAAGAGGAAAGGTATCGTATTTCTTGTTCGAAGAATTCAAGGTATAGAATTTTCATTGATAAAAATCATAATAAAATACATTTTTTCTAAAATAATTTGCGTTTTATTGTTTCTAATAATATAAAAATTATATTTATAAGTTTCGTATAATTTTAATTCAATAAAATATTATTGATAAATGTTACTTTTTACAATAGTTAGATTTAATTAATATATAAATTGAAGAAAGTTGGGCGAGAGGAGATAATAAATGAAATACGAACAATTGTTTGTTGTTACATCTTCACAATGTCGGGCTGCAATTTTTAATTATATTTTAATTTAAAAAATCGCATGACTTCCGGTCCAGATAAGAAAATGGTATAGTTAATTGGGCCTTTATCTTTTCATATTTGGTCTCGATTTTTAACTATCTAACTTCGTTCTCGAGATTAAGGAGGGACGGACGGATGGACTATTAGACGAACAATGGAAATCTATAGGTCTTCAATTTAAAAATTGCAGCTCTGATAAGTGACAATTCAACTAATATACAATATATAAAAACTGAAATATCTATAAATAAACAGTTTTTATTTTCAGAATCATTTCTGAGATGATATACAAGATATTAATAATATTTATAACTATTATAACTATTAAAACAGTGTTTGGTAAGAAATATATATATATATATATTTTTTTTAAATTCCTAAATTATTTAAATGATTAATTTAGTAAGATTTTGTCAATATTAAAATTTTCAAAATTTTCATTGAAATCTTAGGAAATGAAGTCAAGGAAAACATTTGGAAAATTGCTATTATTAATGTAATTATGTAATTTATGTTATAATTTAATATTTTTACATAAAAAATTCGGAATTTAATATAAAATTACTTCACAGTTTCTAGATTTTCCTGATCCTTTGCATAATATGAAGTTGGACTCATCTAGAAAACATTTTAAAAAAGATTTTGAAATATTTTTCGAAGTATTTCATATTTTTAAACAGAAATTTGACTTTCAGTAAATGTTTATTTTTATATGAATTTAATTATATATAGACTAAGAATTAAAATATAAATATTGTTTAAAAAACAAAATTTATTTTCTAGATTTGATATTGTTTTTTCGGATATACCAATATTTGGTCGAAAGAATAAAAATGGTTCCTGGTCTGGACTGTTTGGATTAATAGCAGATAAAGTTAGCACATAATTATAACTCATTTTTAATTTTTAAATAATAACAAAAAATACATTGACTGTAATACTGTAATGTTGTTATGATATTTTATAATAAATTTAAATGTTATCTAATATTATAATTTTCTTAAACTATATACATTGGAAGCTCACTTAACTCGCATAATTCGTTTCAGAATATTACTCGTAATGCGAAACACTCGTTAAGCGAAACAATTTTTCCCATATACAGTGGTGCCTCGTATAACGTACTTAATCCGTTCCAGGTGCATGTCCATTAAGTGAAAAGTCCGTTATACGATACGCATTTTCTCATAGAAATACATGTTAAAACATATAATTCGCATAAAATAACCGTACCATAAAAAAATGAAAATGGAGCAGTCATCAATTATGCCGGGTAGTCAGATGTTGTGAGCAGGTGGAATAACACTTTTTTCACACATTCATACAGATACAGACTTTCTACACATTACAGCAGGTCTCTTTTTATTGTTTTTTAATCGGAGTCAGATTTAGGAGAGGCTACCGGAGCTTGCAGGGTCAACTCCTCTTGTTCCATACTCTGTTTTTTTGGCAGCTGGCTTCTTGAAAAACATGTCCAAGGTGGTCTGTTTCTCTCTCTTCTTCAACACTTGTCGAAAATGACAGGCAAGGGTATCATTGTAGAGATCATTGACAATGTTGGCCTCAGCTCTGTTTGGATAATGAGTGTTGGTAAACTCCTGAACCTCTCCTCATTTGACAAGGAAGTTTTTGTCAACTTTCACTCCTTCTGATGATGTCTTACTTTGTTTCAATTAAAATCATCTTTCTGTTTTTTAGAAGCCATGATTTGCACAACATTTGAATAAATGTAAATACCTTGCACTGAGGTGATGTACTGAACGTAATAAACAAGGGAGCAAGACGAATTCCAACGGGAGCTCTGTACTTCAGATATACTAATAATATATTCTAATAATACTAATATAGTATAAAAATAGCAGATTGTCATTGGCAACGGCAAAAGAGTAGAAACATCTTTCGCACTTATTCGCAGAAAGTCCGTTGTTCGTAGCCAGTCCGTTGCTCGAGTCACGTAACGGCCAAACAGAAAGTCCGTTGTTCGCAGTGTCCGTTGTTCGAGGCGTACGTTATATGAGCCACCACTGTAAATTAATGTAAAATACTATAATGCGTTCCGTACCGAAGAAAATACTCAAATATTTTATATATAATGTTTATTCAAAGAAAATTATATAATGATGATTCACACCCCATTATCATTATCATCAACTTTTTTCTAGCGCGGAATGAATTAACTTGGAATGCGAATTCTATTTGCAGAAAACAAAAACAAAAAAATAAAAAAATCGAAATTTAATTTAGAATTGGTCATTAAATTTAATACGAGATAGCAGCATAACAGTTTACCTCTAGTCAAATTATTTAATTTCTAATATTTAATAATGGCCTTTATATATGCCAAATTCTTGCATATCGTTTGGCGTGTTTATTATTGTTTGTTGATATTTATATATAATATGTCTGAACACAAGTTTGGAAAAATGTGTGATCACAAGTGACATTAAGATACTAGCGGAACGAGTGCTAAACACATACAATCTGGGCCTTCCCACCTCCTGGTCATTCGTTAAGCGCGTCATTTTTACAATTTGTTTTGGTCGTTATGCAAATTATTCGTATGGAAGGTGCTCATTAAGCGAGGTTCCACTGTATTCTATCCTTATCTTTACACTATAACGAATGAGGAAGATATTCAGGTGTAAAAAATGCCTTATAACATATAGAAGTCCAGAATGTTATATAATCTTTTACCTGTTGAAACATTTGGAAGAAATTTTGTAATAGAGTTAATATAGGCCTATATTCTGATAATATTATTTATAAATTTTGAAATGAATGCCTATGTATTATATAGTTTAAAACAGGGGTGTCCAACCTTTTTGTTTCTCTGGGCCACATTGGAAGAAGTCAAGAAGTTTTGGGCCACAAGTATATATATATATATAAATGGACGTGTGTGTCCCTATATTTCACTTTTCCGCCAAAACTACACATCGCACGTGAATGGTGTTTGTATGTGGTGGTAGCCCCAAGTCTCCATTCGTGCATAGGGGTGGTTGCGTCTCGATAGCTATAAGGGTGCGGGAGATATGAGGCTAAAAGTAGTTGAAAGTGGCTTTCTATTTCGAATGTTTTGTTCGATTTTTTCGAATTTGTTCGAATTAAATTCGAACATAAAATTCGAATTGGTTCGATTATAGAACGATTGAAAACGTTCCAGAAACGTTGAAATTTGTTCGTTTGACTAAACGTAAAAATTCTCTAATTAGTCTGGAAACGGGGGACCTAATTCTTGCATTCTGTGAAAACGGGTAAGATTAGCTATAATGTAATTATCTTAATCTTCACTATCGTTACTTTTTGCCCAGCGAAGCGGGTTTTTGCAGCTAGATTCTAGATTACTTAGAAAAACAGTGTTTTATATATATAAAAAAACTATATTACATACAAATAAAAACCCAGCGAAGCGGGTCCTTGCAGCTTGTTATATATACTTGTGGTCCAATATAAAAGTATATTTAAGGACTAACATATCTAGATTATAATAATAAGTATTAAAACTTTATCACGAAAAAGGATATTTTAGAAAATTAATTTTATAGACACTTTCAATTTTTACTTAAAAATAGATAAATTCATTTATTATAAATATAAAGAGACAAACGAAAATTTATTTGAAAAACACAAATATTTGTTTTATTTGGATCTCTAATTAATAAAAAGCGATGAAACACTATTTTAAAATGCACTTTTATTCACTAATATATTTATGAATAATGTGTAGCCCATAAAGTAGCCAAAGCGCCAAATGATATATTTTACATCAAACTAAAAAAAGTAGCCACATTTGTTGCAATGTAGCCAAATCTTGCAACGCTGGAAGGAATAATAAATAAAGCTTGAGTTGTGACTCAATTGATTATAGACCCGAAAGGAGAGAGAGGACAAAAGGTAAAGAAGTGAGAAAGGTTGGAAAATTAAGAATCAATATTTGCATAACAGAAGATCTATTTAACCTTTCTCACTACTTTTTATCTTTTGGCCTTTCTCTCATTTTCCAAAATTTGGGTCTATAATCCTTTGTGTCATAACTCCAGCTTTATTTAGTAATTCTTCATCATTCACACATCTCCAAGTATATTTCCTTTCCATTCAAAATAAAGTATGAATAAAGGTTTACGGCTTTGTGAAACTTCTTTTTTGAGTTTACGCCGTTGAAATAAATAAATAATAATAATGATTAAAACATTTTTCGATTTTGTTTACACGTTTATTGGGCCGCATTGGAACTTGCCTTGGGCCTCATGCGGCCCGCGGGCCGCGGGTTGGACACCCCTGGTTTAAAATATTAATAATATAAAATAATTTTTATTTTTTCGTTTTATAATTTAGAAAGCTGATATTTCATTTTTTCCTCTTTCTATCACCCACGATCGATTTCTTGCTGCCGACTTTAATTTACCTACACTGTTCGAGCAAATTGTATTTATAGTCAAAACTCCTAATCGCCATCCCAATTATTCAGCTATATACAAACCTTTTTCCTTAAAAGTGAGAAAATCTGTGTTAATAAATATCTATTATGATAAAACTAATTTTATTTGTATTTAATTTAGTTATGGTTAGCAACACTGATCACTTCTATTGTGTTTGGATTAATTGCTTATTATATTCTGAACAAGGATTTAGCATTGTCAGGAAATAAGCAACAATATTCAAGGAAAAATATATTTTGGTTTATCTTCGGGACTTTTACGGCTAAAGGTACTTGTTAATTTTTTTCTTATGATAAAATTTTTATAGTAACAGAAGACCTTTCTTTATTTTAGGAGACGATTTGTACATTTTTAAACGATTTCCATCAAGATTTTTACTGGGAATATGGATTTTAGGTATCATGATTCTTGTATGGAGTTACATGGGAAATTTGATATCTTTTATGACGTGTCCGTTTATGAATCAAGTACCAAGAACCTTTCAAGAATTGATTAATTATGTGGAAAATGAAAAATACACCGTGGGAATTGATAAAGATCACGATGCAGCAGTACAATTATTGCTTGTAAGTACTATCTCTCAGGTTGTTTTATAATAAAATAAAAATTTTTAATTTATATATGAAGATAATTTAACCATTTTAAAATTATTTCATAAGTAAAATATAAAAAAATGACTGAAATGTATCTATTATTTTAGAGATATTTTTCAAAATTCTTTTAGAAAACTAAAGCAAGCCGTTTACAAATACTTAGAGATGACATTATTTCTCATAATAATTTTCTAACGCTTGATCAAGCGATGCAACGAATACAAAAAGATTCTCGTTTTGCATTTATCGGTTCAAAAATAATCTTCCAGCACATCAAAGTTTCGATGAAATCACAATATTTTCTTGAATCTAAAGACTCTGCAGGTATTTTTGCACTTGCATTTGGAATGAGAAAGGGGTTTCCGTACAAAAATAAAATTTCTGAAATGTAAGACATTTATTTATTTTTATTTTAAAGCAAAATTTATATAATTTCAACTGAATTTTAAAAATTATTTTATAGATTAATTCGTGTGTTTGAATCAGGTATTGTATATAAACACGTAGGTGTTGAATACTTTGAGCAAGAAAAGAAAGAAAAGCATGAAGAATCAGCCGTGAAATCGTTAACATTAGAAGATCTCTTGAGTGCTTTCATGCTTCTTTGTATTGGATATATATTATCTACTGCAGTGTTTATAATTGAATTGTTATTATACCAAAGATTCGTTAAGAGAAATGTTGATTATACAGATAAAAAAATATAGATCTTCTACTCTACTAAACTTTACCTAATACTAAATATTTTATTATTTATTTAAATATGCAAATAATAACGTATTTCTTTATGCTATTGATGGCCGAAGCGTTTAAGGCTTCGACCTCTCACTGTGGAGACCAGAATCGAATTCATACAGCATAAATACTAATAAAGGTAAATACTAATTGGTGTGAAAGGTTAAATTTTGTCTTCTGGTAGTGCTTAAACTACTTTATTGAAATTTCAAATTTTTCTGATAAGTACTCAACATCTTGTTTATGTTCTAACACTTTATTTTTTATAAGAAATGTGTTTCTATTCAGAAATTTCACTTCAGTGTAGTCAATGTAATTTTATTATGTTATTGAATATTATTGCGTGCACTGCACTGTACTGAAATGTTTCGTGTTATGTAAATTTGAATTTATAGTTATAAATTAAATAAATGTAAGAATATAAAATTTATAATAAGTTTGATTAATACAGGGTGGTTACAATTAAACTGACGGTAATCAGATGAGTGGACATGGGCTCTTCTGAACTGAATCGAATAAATCTTGATACATATGCAATGAGGATCATGGAAAGAGATTTATTGAGGGGAACAAATTGGTTGAAATATTCACCACCAGGAGAAAATATGACGCTGCGAAGGTGACAATTATGAGAAGTGTACAAAATTAAAGATATTATTAGATATAATGTACTGTACACAACACACAAACCGAATACACATCAAAATGGACTGTGACATAATGAATGATTGTAATAGAAACGCTTGATCGCACTGCGAATTTACGCTAAACTTCATTTATTACGCCACTTTTATATTTTCGCGAACACCGGTTAAGAACCATGCTTTAGTAGCGGGATTGCGGCCGAAGTTTTCATCTCTAAAACGTAAACGTCGAACGACGAGCGCCGCTATCTTGTAAGCGGCGCTCATCGTTCGACGTTTACGTTTTAGAGATGAAAACTTCGGCCGCAATCTCACTATTATCTCTGAAAATAGGGTGCCTCTAACATTCTACGTAATACGTCATAATTAGCAACCTTTCGTACCGCGTCACTAATTCCATTGCCTTATTTTAATAATTTTATTAGGCTAATATTCGTAATAGCAAACATTTAAGAGATTAACTTAGCTCAATCTCGTTAGTATATTACTATAAGGTTGTAAGTACTTGAATAAAAATCTCAGAAAAATATGTGAAGTGTTGTTTCAAGAAATTATGCATTTCCAACGCTTTAAACGTCAGTAGAGATTATAAGGCCCACTTATAGGAAGATGTTAGTATTGGAGCTAGTGTTGATTCAGAAGAGCCTAACACAAAGAGTGAGTGAAGAGGTTTCTGACTCTGTTACCAAGAAAGGCAATGATATATAAGTTACTTTAGTGTATAATAAATATTGATTCTATTGACATAAATGCAATGGCGTCTTACAGTATATCCGAGTAAATACGATAATAATAATGAAAACTTAGAGTCTTCTTGAAAATATTTTTCTGTTTTATTTATGTTTAAATATTTAATATTATTATTTTAATAACATACAGAATAAAGCCGGTTATTTTCTTTTTGTCAGCATCAATCAATTTTCTTTGAAATAAATTTATAAAATTAATTAATTTAGTAAATCAATTGAAAAATTAACAGGTACAAACATCCACGATATTCTCGTGTAATTTGTAATTTTATGTTAAATGAATTTACATCAATATTTACGAATTCCCTTTCGTTACAATCCATTATTTACAACTGCATTATATATATATATATATATATTTTTTATAAACGTGCAATATTTATGGTATATTATCGGAAATGCAACAGCAATTATTTAGCACTGAGTTTATGTATCAAACGAGCTACTAGAAAGATGTATATTCAATTCGTTCTATTTTCCTAATCTCTATTCGATTTTCTCTGGAGTGGTCATTTCACTTTTTCGTACACCTTTACTAATTAATATTGGAGATATCAAAAAATAAAAGTAAGTAACAACTTTAATAATATTTAGTTTATACATTTATTTCATAACCAAATTCATGAACCCTTTATTTACAAATAATTCTTTTACCTAACTATAATTTTATTATATTAGAAATTTAATATTAAACTATAGACCTATATTAGATAATTGGAATCTGCAAAATTATTTTATAAATGAAAGTTTTAGAAGTTTTAAATGTATAAATTTCATTTCAGACTAATTTTAATTTATTAAATAATTTAAATAAATTAACTAGCTTTTCTGAAATTTTGTGTATTAGAAGGATTGATGCTGTTAAATTTTGGTGGTTAAATATCGAGGGGGTGAGGAGATAGAAGGGGGGTCGTGTGGTGTCTTATCTCGAGTAGGATCGGACTTAATGACAATTTTACTCGTTATTAGCATATATAATTTTTAAAATAAAACTCATCCTTACCCTCAAAATTATTTGAATAGCATCTCATGTATTATGGGCATTACTTAAGTTTTTCTTTTAATATTTATAACAATTTTGATAAAAGTTAAGAGAATAATAATAATAATAAATGCTATTATAATCAAAATTTTAAGAAAGTAAAAAGTTTTTTAATAATTTTATTTTTAATAATTATTTTTACTTATTATCGTTATTTTCTAACTTCAAAATGTAAGCTTACATTTTAAAAATTAACAGGAGGAAAATTGTAAAATATAAAAATATTCTTAGAGAAACTAATATGAATTCAAAATTAACTATATTAATTCATTTAAATCAATCTACTTGAGAGAAAATATTTATTAAAATTTGCATTTTAGAATAATAACATTGATTTAACTTTAATTAATAAAGTTATTATTGTTTAAGAAACTTTTTAAATAATTAATAGAATAAATATCACGCAATTAGAATTCGTAAAATAAGATAAAAATTATCCATTATTTTTACTTTTCTTACTCTGTTATATATAACAGGGAAAGTATGGCGATGGGTAAAAAAAATCGCCCCTAAGATTTTTATATTTTTGGACTCGGGGAATCTTGAAACGTCGAGAAATGCAAATAATTTCGAGAATTTTGAGGGTAGAAATGAGTTTTTTATAAAGCTTTTTGCCACTTTATAATAATTAAAAGTATAAAAAGTTCTTCTTAATAAAATATCATAACAGATAGCGCCACGAGAATTTTAACTGTTGCTGGGAAAGTTAAGCAACTTGTAGCTGGATTTTTTTAAAGTAAGATGTAAATTTATATTTAATTAAAGGTTTCAATTAGTTTTTAACTATAAAGTATATTCTTAAATTTAAATGAAATTTCCATATATTAAGTTATTATTTTTTAATATACAGTCAACACACCTTAATACTGAGAACGCACATTTATTGAGCTAAACAAACGTTTTCAACCCATTTCATGGGCCATCATTAGGTTAAAGACGTTCGAATCTAAGCAATTATCGAACACACGTTGAAATTAAATTACGTAAATAAGCATAACGAAATTAATACAATAAATACGAAAAACAAAATAATATAAAAAGGAATACAAAATACGGTAATTTCCCGCAATCCAATATGTAGCCTAAACAGTTTTTATATATTAACCCAGGTTTTCATTGTATCATCCTACGAGTTTTTTCTGATTATGTATTTCCATGCCGACGATAAAATGGTTGCATCCTTATAGTTTAAACATTTATCCGTCAAGCTAGATCTGTAGATCTCACATTTCTCTGTTGTGGATGCAAGTGTTGGCGAGTGTACCTTTGCAACGATTCTGGCCTCCTCCCATTTAACTATGGATCCATCTGTT